AAGCAGATCTCTGCTTCATTAGCTTCTTCAGGGGGGGTCCTAGGTGACATTAGGGGTCTTGGAGATTCCCGATGTCTCCATAAAGAGGACCTGTCACATCTTTTGCTATCACATATAGGGGTTTCTTAGCCCCCTCTGTGAAAGCAATAAAGTTAAGTGAAAAGAAAAAAATAGGGGAAAAAATTAAAGTTTCCCCCCCAAAAAAATTTAAGTTACACATAAAAAAGAATTTTTAAAAAACAAACATTTTTTTTAAAGTCCCCACCCCTACATACATGCATGCATGTAAACATGCGTCAGGTGCGCATACCTGCGAAAACCACGATTGCTCCCATAACGCCACACGTTACATATTGCCGCGAACATCGCAGTGAGAGCAATAATTTATGGCCATCAATCACTGATAACACGAAACTGATGAACTGTAAAAGCTTTTAAAGCGTCGGCTATGGTCAATTTTGGGTATGCTAGTTTTTTGCGATTTCGCGGGTGAGCGCAATTTTTAAGCATGACATGTATTTACCCGACATGACCCCGTCTTTTATATTTTACCAAAAAAGTGGGTAATATTAATTGTTTTTTAACATAATGTTCAATAAACTAATAAAAAAAAAAAAATTTCAGTCATTTTTCCTTAATATAGTAAAAATTAAAACCCCCCAGTGGTGATTAAATACCACCAAAAGAAAGCTCTATCTGTCCCCAAAAAATTGTATAAAATTCATATCAGTACAGCGTTGCATGACAGAATAAATGTCAGTCAAACTACTGCAGCGCTGAATACTGAAAAGTGGAATGGCCAGGAAGGGGGTCTAAACACCTGGTCAGCAAGTGGTTAAGTAGAGTCCTGGCAAAACGTTTTGAGAATTACACAAATACACTGCTTCAGTGTTTTAAGATCTTATCAGATGTTACTATGGTATAGACATGTGCACAGCCAAAAAATTTGTTTCGTTTCAAATTCGGATTTGTGTTATTTCGTTTTTCGGGATTCGGGTGTGAAAGTCAATTCGGATTCGGAATTCGGACAAAATTCGGTAGCGTTCGCACGAACGTTCGTTTCGTTTTCTGTTCTTATTCGTTTCGTTCGTTTGCAGCAAAAGTGACATTTGAGGGGGAAAAAATATTTTTCTCCTCTAATGTCACTTTGCTCCAACGAACGAAATGAATAAGAAACGAATAAGAAACGAATACGAACAGAAAACGAAACGAACGTTCGTGCGAACGCTACCGAATTTCGGAAATGGAAATTCGGATTCGTTTGCATTCGTTATGTCTGTAATTCGGAATTCGGATACATCCGAATTTACGAAAATTCGTCCGAATTTCGATTCGGAACGAAACGAATCGCACATGTCTACTATGGTATACTGTAGTATAATTATGAGCATTTCATTTGTGTCAAAGGTTTCCATTGACAATTACATTAAGTTTATGTAGAGTCAATATTTGCAATGGGTTTTGTAGTCCTCTATAGCTAGTGGTATTCGGCATTGCACCACTGTATAATGTATTCCTGGGATTTGTTGTACTCCTCTATAGCTGGTGGCATTCTGCATTGCGCTGTATAATGCATTATTGCTGGGATTTGTAGTCCTCTATACAGCGCAATGCAGGATACCACCAGCTATAGAGAAGTACAACAAATCCCAGCTATAGTGCACTATACACACAGTGTATAATGTATTTCTGGGATTTGTATTCCTATGTATAATATACAGCACATGGCGGGGATGTGGGTGGGCGGTGAACGTGAGGCGGGGAGGAGATGCGGCGTGTGGATGCGGGCGGGTCTGGCAGCGGCAACGTGAGGTGGGGAGGAGGTGCGGCGCGCAGCGTGTGGGGAGCCGTAAACAGGACCAACCAATCAAAAGCCGATTAATCGATGATTGAAAAAGTTGACAACTTTTTCAATAATCGATTATGTCGATTAGTTGTTGCAGCCCTAAAAAATTGCGATGTTTTGTTCCCCAAGCCACTTAGTTATCACTTTTGCCTCATGGCAAGGTGCTCCATCATGCTGGAAAAGGAATTGGTTGTCACCAAACTGTTCTTGAGTGGTTGGGAGAAGTTGCTCTTTGAGGACGTTTTTGTACCATTTTTTTATTCATGGCTGTGTTCTTAGGCAAAATTGTGAGTGAGCCCACTCCCTTGGCTGAGAAACAACCCCACATGACACAGGACTGATGGTAGCGCTTACCTTTTCTTCTCCGGACAAAGTATTTTTCAGATGCCCCAAACAATCGTAAAGGGGATTCATCAGGTAAATTACTTTACCCCAGTCCTCAGCAGTCCAGTCCCTGTACCTTTTGCAGAATATAAGTTTGTCCCTTATGTTTTTCCTGGAGGGAAGTGGCTTCTCTGCTGCCCTTCTTGACACCAGGCGATCCTCCAAAAGCCTTCACCTAACTGTACGTGCAGATGCACTCACACGTGCCTGCTGCTATTCCTGAGCAAGCTCTGAACTGGTGGTGCCCAGATCCCGCAGCTGAATCAACTTTAGGAGATGGTCCTGGCGCTTGCTGGACTTTCTAGGGAACCCTGAAGCCTTCTTCACAAAAATTGAAGTTCTTGATGATCCGATAAACAGTTGATTTAGGTGCAATCTTAATCGCAGCAATATCCTTGCCTGTGAATCCCTCTTTGTGCAAAGCAATGATGGCTGCAGGTGTTTCCTTGCTGGTTAACAGAGGAAGAACAAATGATTTCAAGCACCACCCTCCTTTAAAAGCTTACGTCTGTTATGCTAACTCAATCAGCATGACAGAGTAGTCTCCAGCCTTGTCCTCTTCAACACTGACACCTGTGTTAACGACAGAAACACTGACATGATGTCAGCTGGTCCTTTTGTGGCAGGGCTGAAATGCAGTGGAAATGTTTTTTGGGGGATTAAGTTAATTTTTTTATGGCAAAGAGGGCCTTTGCAATTAAGGGAGAATTATGAGGCAAGTGATTCTCACTCAGCCTCATAATCTGAGCCGACCTGTGACAATGAAACTGTCACAGGTCGGCTCAGTAGATCGGGAAGTGAGCGAACACATAGCGCCGCTCGCTCACTTCTCGATCTATCCCTGCAGAGAGCCGTGACTGTCACTCACAGCTCCCAGCAGGGATTCCCCCCTCCCCTGTCCGATCCTCCAGCGCTGACTGGCGGAACAGACAGGGGATGGCACAAATGGCTCTGCCTCTGGATAGGCAGATCCAGCTGTCAATCCCGCAGCTGGGTGGATCTCGACAGCAATGTCGAGATCCGTTCCAGCGTCTTAGTATACCGCGAGCTGTAGCTCACGGTATACGGAGCTTTGGGCCACGGGAGAACGCTAGTTTGTGTTCTCCCGTGACCCTTAGGAGAACTATGGGGAAAAGCCCTGACCCCATAGTTCTCCTTTAAATGCAATTGATCTGATCACTCTTCATAACATTCTGGAGTATATGCAAATTGCCATCATACAAACTGAAGCAGCAAACTGTGAAAGTTAATATTTGTGTCATTCTCAAAACCTATGGCCAGGACTGTATATATTTTACTGAAATTTTGGGTTTGATAAAGGAGTACTATCATGCGACATAAAAATTTGCACCTGCCACCATTTTATTCTACAGAATCTATGCTTTCCGGAAAGATATAATTCTCAGCGGTTTAAGTGTTTTTTTGGCCTGCAATTTGGATTATAACCTGTGTGCAAAAAAACCCAGCAAAACTACTCTGGCAGTGAAAGGGTTAATATAAAATGGAGGGGAATTTAGCAAAACTAGACCAGACAAAATCACTCAGCTTCTATCTTTCATTTTCAAAGATTAACTAAACAAACTAAAAAGAGAAGCTCTTGCTTCTGCCCCCATGCTTCTAACTCTTTAACCCTTTGTTAGGACAGACAGCATTCAAATCTAGTAATTAAAATCGGTCACAGTACAGACAGGGCTAATTAGAGTAAACAACCTCCCACAGCCCCTTCCTTAATATAACATAGGGGAAGCTAGGGTTTTAAAGACGAACTTACATATTTTTTTTCAAATTAACCCTTTTAGTGGGGCTACACTGCAAGGGGGTTAAGTGCTTGTTTTGGTCTAGGAGCAAAATAAATAAGATATACTCACGTGATCCTTGGTCCTGCAACAGTCTATACTCACCTCTCTCCCCCTCCGCTCTGCCTGTGGTATGTGCTTCGGTTTCCGCTCATCTAATGGACTGCATTAGACATGATGATATTACATGTCCTTAAGCTACAGTCTAAGGCCTGGTTCACACCATTGCGCAGATTCAGTTGCGTGATATCGCACAAAAGCCCATACAAGTCAATGGTGATTGTTCACACCCAAGTGTTGCGTGCGATATCGCCTGTTTCGGAAAAAGATGCAGGAGCTACTTTCAGGCAGATGTCTCACAGTTTTGGCCCCATAGACATCTCTAAGCGATGAGGACCCTGCAGTTTTTAAAAACAAAATCGTGCAAAAAAGAAAAACGTGCAACAAACACGCTAAAACAGCTCATCAACCACAATCGCCTAGGTTTGAACCAGGCCTCAGCCAGATGGAACCGAGGATCAGCCAAGCATATTTTCATTATTTCTGCTCCTAGACCAAAATAAGCACTTAACCCTTGCAGTGTGGAAGTAGCCCACTGCAAGAGTTAATTTGAAAAACATTTAAGTTGCTCTTTTAGCAAATAAGCACTTAAAAACGGAAGCAACAACTTTTAAATATTTACAGCTATGGAAAAAAGAACCAAACAAATACAAGGTAGGTGATATACCAATTTGGCTGCAAAAATCCCTGTTTTAAATATTTAAATCTGTGCTTATTCTTTGCATTTCTTCAAGACTCCGCTTAAAAGCAAAATATGTCATACTCAAACCATCTCCTTTTAAAGATGACTGGTGTGAACCCCACACAAACTCCAATACCATGAACTGCGCAGAAACAGGGTACCCAATTTCAACAGTGAAACACCGAGTAAACAATGACAATTCGCAGCAAACCGTATCAAGACCCAAGCGAACCTTCATGAACTCGTCCTTGTCGAAACACAAAGTGCTGGGGCTCTGCGGTAGCTGCATCTTTTCCATGTCAGAACCACAGGAAAGACACTGAAAACTTAGACGACGCGGCACTTCCGCCAACCTCTACCTTCAAATCACGTCACGGCACGCTTTCTCGTCTAAGCTTTGTGTCACAGCGCCATCTGGTGTTCGCCAGAAATATTAACACGTAGAACACGTGAAGAAGCTGGCAAGCTGCAAAAGTAGGTAGACTGAGGGCATCCTAGCTTTGTAAAGAAGTAATGAAAAAATGTCTATGTGGAATACACCTACTTATGTTATAAAGCATAACCGACAGCATTTAAAGGGTTACCCAGGTGAATTTGGAAAAATGGAATTACCCCATTCAATCCGCCTGAAACGCCCCCCCATTTCGGCGCACGCTCCTTCCCCCTCACCAGTACGGGTGTGCTATTTGTAGTGCAGTGTAGCAAGCACGCATTGCTCAGCACTGTGACCTGACGGCGCTGACCCATGAGAAGCACTTCTTAGCAACAAATCCGAAGCGCAGGGCTGGGGGGAAAGAGCGTTCACTGTGTCCATTAGGGACACTAGATGGAGCCAAGGAGCACTGGCAATTCCTTTGCTCCTCTACTCCACCTACTGGCCTTAATACACTACAAATCCTTTTCGCTATGTTAATGGATTGTAAGGTAAATCATCCCTTAAGAGATTTCCTTTGCTCAGCCTGTGCGCTGAACTAAAGAAATCAAATAGGTTTCTCCATCTACACTAAACAATATAGATAGAAGAATCCCCCCAAGGCGGGCTATTCTATTCTGCAAGTCAGCGCCTTCTGATTGGCCGCAGATGTTGTTCAACCAACAATTTTTGGCCTAGCTTCTTTGACTAAAATACTGGCAGGGAATCCACTGTTATAAATTCTAACGGTGTATGACCAACTTAAATCAAGACTGGGCAAAAACTAACATTTTCCCAATATTTTTATAAATGAAAAGGCATCCACTGCTATGCCCTGTGTTTGGTGCTATCCTTAGCAAACTCACCTACTCACTGAACCAGCACAGGTCCTCTTTTGGGAGAATAAGGCCCAGCGAGAGTGCTGCTTTCTGCAGCATTTAGCATCTGCCCTCCACTGGGGTAAGAAGAGGGTTAGGAGGACCTGGGACATCTCGGGTCTCGACCATAGACACCAAGGAAAAAAAATGAATCAACCTGGCTGGGGAATCTCCTCACTGGTATCTGAGTCCTTGTAGTCCTCACTGGATGAACTGCTGTGCAAATGAATGAATTGTCCAGGAGCTCTCATTAATTTGCACAGCAGTTCATCCAGTGAGGAATACAAGTCCAATGGGACATTGTTCTTGCTGCGTTTGTGAGTATAAAGTGTTTTTTTAATATCTTCATCAATAAAAGGATCATTGCACCAGGTCAAGTGCCCAGTTTCTTCTTTTCTTTTCTATGCAGTTTCCAGGATCCCTTGTCTGTTACGGGGCGGTTGTACTGGATTTCCATGAACTCTTTGGGCCACAGGAGGGTTTCTTTGGTTGTGCATTTGGCGCTGATCGTGTCATTTTTGTGGCTTGGGAATTATAGAACAAGGAGAACTATTGTGTAAGTGTTTTTCCCCATAGTTCGCTTAAGGGTCATGGGAGGACATATTCTAGTGTCCTCCTGTGACCCAAAGCTCAGTATAACGCAAGCTACAGCTCGCAACAGCTTCCTACAGTTGGGTGATTGTTGGTATGATAGTACAGTAATACCTTGGTTTACAAGTAACTTGGTTTTAGAGCGTTTTGCAAGACATGCAAACATTTCTGAAAAAGTTTGCCTTGATATACAAGCAATGTCTTGCAATAAGAGCAAAATTTGGTAGAAAAGCACCACCGAATAAGGCTGTAGCAGTGCGAGCGATGTGTCTGTTTAACGACAACACAATGTCACAGTGGATAGATTCCTTGTTAAGGTTTCACGAAATGAAAAAGATTCCATTGAGTCAAGAGGTAGCAGTGATTCCGTTAGTGATCGTGAAAGTCGTCCTACACAATAATCCTCCTCTCTCTTGTCCCCCTCACACCAGCCACAAAGGTACCGGTAATTGGTTTATTTGTCTTTATATTTTGTACAGTATTATATTACAGTACGGTATTGTAATCATTTTTATATGAATATTTTTGGGTTGTGGAATGAATCATCTGAATTTCCATTATTTCCTATGGGGAAGTTCGCTTTGATATACAAGCGCTTTGGATTACAAGCATGCTTCCAGAACGAATTATGCTCTTAAACCAAGGTATTACTGTATATGATAGTTTCTGTCCTCTCAGGCCTTAATTGACAGGTAAGAGGGTACATTTGTCTGACAAATTAATTTATCCTTATAACCTTTAAATGATTCCTAATAATGTTCTACACCATCACAGTATAATGTTTACCTATAGTCTGGTCAGTAAATAGGTTTTTTCCTCCTCTCAGTAAAATGGTGAGACCAACATCTAGAGTTTGGAAACTTTTTCACAGTGCAACTTCTGCTGAGAGCAAAGCTGCAATTTGCAAATATGATATTGCTTGTTTTGTTGCTTTTGACACAGTCCTTGTTATTCCATTTGTAATAAAAAATAAAATTTTAAAAAGCAAATTTACTTTATTTACTGAATAAGCTGTACTTTTATTTCAAGCATAATACTTTTATATACACTGCATTTCACATTCCTAGTGTAACAAAATGACTTTCAATTTGTAAAAATACTCCACACTGAATTTTTGAAAAAAAATTCAAAAAAAAACTTTTATTTCTCATGGCTTCAATATTTCCTGAGATTTTACATCTCGCACGTCTTTAAAAAAATGGTCATCTTGGTTGATGATTCGTTTATACTGTTTATTTGATAGAAAATGTCAGATACAGCCAATGCGGACTAGACACAACAGGAAGTGAGAGGATACCTTTACAATATACCTCTATTCCTGTTCTGATGACAGCTCAAATTTTGGGGTTTCCCTCAGGCCAGGTTCACACCTGGGCAATCTCTGACCGCGCAGCAATCCAGCACAAAACCACGCGGATGGCCTCGCGGTCACGGCGTTGCGCGCCATCGCTGATCGCGCTGCCATTATTTTCTAATGGCACCCTAGTTGCACCAGGCAGATCGCCGCAATTCCATTCCTGCAATCGTGCACAATCGTGGTTGAAAGAACGCGCGGTGCGTGTCACGAAAAATGTAACCCCATTGAAATCAATGAGGCAGCGCAGCAACCGCTGTGTACAACCGCACACGATCACACGTCCCGGGACCGCCCAAGTCTGCACCAGCCCTCACTTTTACTCCCAGTGACAGTGGTCACCAGAAGAGAGAGGCCCACAGAATGTAATAAAAACATGTTTTCCAGTAAAATAAGAAAGGTTTTGATCCTTTGTCAGGTTATAATGACTGTCCTTGACTTTCTGTAACAGTGATAACTACTCCCCTTATTTCTTGTCCTTCTGTTCTGGCCCCACAGGCAGAGACTTATTCACTTACCTACCTGCCATCTCAAATTCGGCCACAAGATGGTGCTGTAGAGCCTTGGTTCTCAACTGATGGGTCGTGACCCAAAAGTGGTTCGCGACCACGTGTTCATTGGGTCGCCGCAGGCCTTCCACTTTTCTAGGTGAGAGGCTCCTCAGCCTCCCCCTAGCACAACCCTGTCAGTTCTCGCGCCAAGCAGCCATTCAAAATATGCTGCCCAGCACTGAGTATCAGCTTTGAATAGGGCAGGCTGGAGATATGGAGCTCTGTCACAGCACAGCAGCCCACACTGGACCCCAGGTTGAGGATCCACTCCAGTTCTCGTAAGGTAGGGAGAGTGGGTGGACCTTATAAAAAAAGTGTGTATGTGTGTGTGAAAATGTGCCTGCGAATGTATGTATGTCAGTGTTTTTGAGGGCCCATTCACACTAGTTCAGTGTGTCAAACTGTACCACACAGTCACAACTACCGTGCGGTATCCTAATGCCGTGTGTTCCATTGCAGTGCGACTTGGGTCGCGACTTAATGGCCTAGGACAAATGTACAAATGTGGGTCCTGAGGTTTCATAGGTTTAGAACCACTGCTGTAGAGCATATATCCTTATTTACTATAGAGCAAACTGGTTTTCTATGATACGTTTTCCCAAGGAGAAGGGAACAAGTGCATTCTGGGACTCGGATTTCATTTTGGAACAGAGCAGAAGTGAATCTGATACCATCCTGAGTGCATGTCTGGAGTAAATGCCCAGGTTTGCCTTACCGCAGGTTTCCCAAACTTATTCCTCTGAATATTTGTGAGCTATATTACTTAATTTACATGTTCATATATTGATTGTATGCTTCCATATTTTTTTCACCAGTTTCATCCCACCCTGTTTTGTTAATAAAGCTTCAAGATTTCATCCAGTCTGGAATGAATAGGAAGGTTAAGCTGCATGTCGAGATATACACAGGCCACAGGGTAAATGTAGCAGGGAAGAACAGTGAAACAACAGCTACCCAGCAAGTGGGATACAGGGCAGTGACTACACAGAGGACTGCTACACGTCAGCGCAGCCACCTGCATACGACAATACATCAGTCTCTGCGCTGTCAAGTACCTCCAGAAGCAACATGTCACATAGTCGGGCATCTTCACTCAAAACAAGGTCACAAGCATTTGGTTCTTATGAATCCTCATCCGCAAGGAATGCATTCACCATCGCAGTGCAAAAGTTGAAGCTGCGAAAGCTAGGGCAGCCTTTGCTGAGCAAGAGCCGCAGATGAAAAAGGAGAAAGTGTGGTTAGAGGCTGAGAAGGGGGGTATGTGTATCAACCACCATGAGAGGGAGTTGCGGAGCGTTGGCCTGCTGTATGCTGGCAGCTGTAGTCACAGGAGGCAATGTCGGCGCCTTGGTGGTTAATGGCCGCAGGTCCTCTTGTCCCTTTCTGGGCCCAGTAAGCGCTGAGGCGCCGACACTGCCTTCTGGGACTACAGCTCCCAGCATGCCAACGCTCCGCAGCTCCCTCCCGAGGTGGTTGATATTTGCCAGGGCCCAGTCGCACATGTGACCAATGCAACCCTGTTAGTTGTGCCAGTGTTAGCCATTGTTTAGCATCCA